AAATGTGTTAATACCTCAAATTTGAGGTAGAAGAGTGCATACTAATACTTACTTCATTCGACTTCCTTAAATGCCCAATCTAGAAAGATGAGACTTTGTCAGATTGTTCCCATCACAAATAAGCTCTCTGTAATTTGTCATGACAAACAGATTTAGTTTTGTTTTCAAAATAAAACTTTTAGAAAACTTTTAGAGGGCATTTTCTGATAGCAGTTTACCAGTTTATACATGCTTTAAAACAATAACCAGTGCTTATTAAAGCCTTTACTAAGGAAACTTGATTTAAAGCTATACCGCATTTCATTCTAAAACATGGTTACAATGTATTAGTAGTACTACTAGTAGTAATAGTAGTAGTAATACAGTTTCAATAAAAATAGAAGTAATAACTTGTACAGTAATTCTTAACATACTCAAGTAATGCTATTGTTAATAAACTGTACTTTTACAGTAACATTATTATGGGAGCAAAGGGAGGGATTTTTAGTCTTCCCTTCACCCATGACATTTCGCTCTACCCAATTCACAGTGATGGATGGAGGGACATATCTTTGGAGTTTGGACATTTTTACTTTTGGCTTTCTTTATGTCCTCCATATCTGCCATCTCCCTCGCTGTCTCATCGGTGATAGCCATGTCAACAGTAAGGAGGTGTCAGTCAAACGCCAATACAAAATACAAGATGTCCTTTCTCTGGCTGGCTCTCAGTGCTCCCCATCTCCACTGGACTGTTATCAGCAGGAGTGGTCTTGAAAGGTTGGGGAAAAATCCTCCCTGTGCGCTCTGGCTGTCATTGTAATGATCCCTTGATGGGCCTATTCCCTGGCCAGAAAGTGAGTGTAAAAAGGTGGGCCAGGTTAAAAGTCAAACTGAACAGACTTGATCGTAAAGTTTGCATCCAAGCAGCTACGTAATAAGCCTAAATTATTTTGCAGTTGGATTTGCAATCTGTTATTCGAAATCAAGATTCATAACGCAGTGCACATTCAAAGGAACATTCATTTTTGGGAGGAGAAGGCTAAAATACTAAAATAGGTGCTAAAATATGTGTGCAGGTTGTACAAAAAATAAAGATGCATGGAGATAACCGCAATCACATAAATCTTTATATTGTTATATTATCTAAATAACTGAGATTTCTTGTTATGACCATTTAAGATGCACAAAGTAACTTTTCCAGAAGAGAAGCCACCATCTGCTTGTCTCCAGGCAGATGTTGCTCCTTTGCCTAGAATGTTCCACACTATAGCATTAAAGTTATAATGTACGACAACACCAGGCCAAGTTAGAGGTCAGATCTATGGAGAGGTGAATCCCAGCAAGAATGAATTTTACAGCATTTTTAACTCATAAAGACATGCAGGTTATTTAATGCTACAACGTGAAATAGTGAAGACAAGATAATAACATCACCATGGAGATCCAAATCCACCAGAAAAGTGACATAGAATACCTGAACAGCTGTTACTTCTATATGATTTAAATTAATCTTGCAGCTTGTGTATGTTCATCTTGTATGTGTTTCCATCTCTGTCTGTATGGAGTGCACATTATCTTGGTGTATGTCTGATCCGCCTGTATGAGCTCCCACATGTTTCTCTTATCTCAACACTAACCTGGTGCTACAAGGAGGCTTTTGTCTGAGGAACAATGATGATAAGTTGAAGATACTGTATATACTCAAGGGGCAGTTTCTGATACAAGACCAAGTCCAATAGTAAAACGAACAAAGAAAAAACTCAAGAACATGAGATGTGAGGCTTTACAATCGAGATACGAAGGCAATTGGAGATGAGCGTATATGAAGAGATACTTGACTTTGCTGTGACCGTAAGTCAGACAAATTGGACAAAATCCAACTGACTTCCATGATTCTAAGCAGCTTATCCTGTATATTTATCTGCCTGAAGCTGATCTCAACCATGGACAACTTTGTCATAAAGTTACAGACACAAACTAACTCCCAAATGCATTCACTGAGGGCATTCACCAGATCAAGGGAAGTTTAAAATGACACAAAACTGGCCCGCAGCCATTAATCAGAATATTTGTAACCAGTCGACTACTAAAATAATTGTTGATTTAAGTTATCATTAATTATGATCGGGACTACAGAGGCTTTTCTTTATTTGTAAATATTCTCTATAAACATTCAGTCAACATGTTTTTTTGTGTGTGTTTTTTGTTTTCTTTTTTAAACACATACATTTTAATTGTACATTGTATTCCAAAATGTTGATGTGATAAATAATATATTGATTAATTAAATAACAGATATATTTGTTTGTCTAGTCTAGTAATCAACTAAACGACTACTAAAATAATAGTCTGTATGGTCTTTATTGCACATCATATTGCCTAATAGCCTTAATAGGGATAGTACAAAATCTCGTGTCACAAGATCTTGCAAGACAAAATTGCCACAAAATTGTGCACAAATGAGAAGAATAATCTTGCAAGATTGTTTCCCCATTTGGGTTGGGCTAAAAAGGTTAAGTGCTGGTGAGTTGCATCTTTTGAGAAGCCGCAGTGTCAAAAAGCACTGTTAGAGTAACAATAAAAATATTAAATTAAGTAAATACAAATTCTGTATTATTATGTAAAAATCTTTTTCATCTGGTTCTCGTGAACCCAGTCTCGTGTCTGGCCCTGTCTTGTGGAAAAAAGCCTAAAGTTAAATCTTTTAACATCACCTCAAGATTAAAAAAAATAAAAAAAATAAAAATTAAAACCATACATAGCATTTTATTCCAAACACCTTTTAAAAATGTCAAATAAATGTAAATTTTTTCAACAGCAATCCTCACAGTCTAGCACCTGCAAGTACTCGGCTTCCAACCAATCCTAGGTCACTTCTCACTCGGAGCCAAACATAAACGGTACTGTTAGTAGCCCATTTACATCTTCATAGGTTGAATCCTGTCCACATGCCCAGATGCCCCCACAGCAGGGCATCATTAATACCTATCCTAGGGCACAAGAACCAATGTCATGCTGGAGAATCACTGTACCCACAGTGAAATGGTGTAGTTGAGCCAGTGGTGTAGTGCCCAAGAGTTCACTATCTGCATGCAGTTAGTGTTTGCTTAAAGGGAAATCAAATTAATTATTCAACCTAAGAAATATTTCAGGAGAGCAAATTAATGTATGCGTGTGGCAAGGTGAGTTAAAATTTCATATACACCTCAGAACCCATATTTGCATGTGTTAATACACTGCATGGTTTCATAGTTGAACTCAAATGCTCTCAAAGTATGCAAAAGACTTTCCTATTTGAGAATGAGCTAGATTAAAATAAGTCTATATGAAACTATGCATCTTCTACATTTCTCAAGCTCCATTAATTGGTTACAGGAAAGATAGCCTCTGACCCAGTAGTATTCTGTTTCATTAAATCATCCAGTGCTTTGCAGTTCAAGACCAGCAGGTTTCACAGGAGAATACCACAGACAAAGAAATAGTTAAAAAAGATACCATATAGACACGCTACATTTTTTATGATATGATCTATGTTATAATGTTGTTTCCTCATCACAAACATACCTGGATTTTTGTTTTGTTTCATTCACACATGTTTAACACATAAATCCTGCATATTTAAGCTGCGTTCTTCTCTCAGACAGAAACCACCTTCTGTAATACAAGAAGCGCTACACTGTGTTTTTAAACTCCATACACCTTCACTAGATTCATCTGGGTAATTTCAGCCCTGGAATAGCTGATCTCTACTGAACTTTGTGAATGAAACAAAACACAACTCCAGGTATGTTTTTGAGGAGGTAACAGCATTCTAACACAGCATGAAGAGGCAATTTTGTGTAATATAGAAGCTTAAAAGCTAATTTAATTGAATGTGTGCATACAAAAGAGTGTATTCATTCAGCAACCATAGCAATTGTTTTACCAGAAGAGTCTGTCAATCCTATTTAAGAATGGCATTATTTTCAGAGAGATTGTTGCTTGAGTGTTGCATAACTCTCCAAATGTACACTATATACAATGAGTCAAGCAGTGCGTAGGTGGGCGCATGGAAGCGTGACTGACCTTGATTTTCCAACTGTAAAGCCCTTTTCATTTGCTCCCATAGGTATGCAGTCCAAAATACACTCTGACATTTTATAGTGGGGTCATACCTGGGGGTCTCAAGGGGGGTGTATTGGACAAACTTAGTTCCGATATACACACTCATACTGCAAAGGTCAAAATGTGATAAATACTATGTCTGTGAAATTCATTATAATATTGTATTTCGTGGTTTTAGCAATAGGATTTTGGACCCTACCTGTAGTTTAAAGGTCTTATATTATGCAAAACTGATAATATGAAAAACATACTTGGAGTTGTGTTTTTTTTTTCATTCACACATGTTTGAGTAATTTTTTTTATTAGTTTGTCTGCATCTCTGAAGCTCAGAATGCTCTGTTCCACCTTGTACTGTCCTGAATGCGTAGTTTTCAAGTTAACAGCTACCTTTTATCTTTTGTTCAGGAAAGATTGGCAATTCTGGGGCTGAAATGATCCAAATGACACTAGTGAAGGTGTAGACAATAAAAAACACAGTGAAGCATTTCCTGAATTACCACATGACATCATGAGGTGGTGTCTAAAAGAAGAACTCAACTTAAATATGCTTGTTTGTGTGTTCAACATGTGTGAAGGAAACAAAACACAACTCCGGGTATGTTTTTGATGAGGAAACATTATAACAGATTAGAATATAGTGTAATATGGGCTCTTTAATATATATTATTATTGTATACATATAGTAATTGCATGTTATGACAAGCTGTCTTTACCCAAATGCTATATTAAAGGTAGAAAAGTAGCAACATTTTACATGTATAACCACTGAGTAAACTAGTTAGTTAATCTGCTAAACCAAAACTAAACTATGTTCATTTATAAACACTGAACCCAGGACTAAACAGAACAAAACTAGACCTAACCAATTTAATATTTGAACAGCAGGTGCTCCACTTCACTTGCCACAAAGATCTTACCTGTTACGAGTTCTCTGATTTCCACATCTCCAGTCTTTCTCAGAAGACGGACCAAAGCCGGGATCCCTCCACAATTCTTCAGAGCCACTTTGTTCTCATCATTCGCTTTGCCATAAACCAGATTTCTCAACGCCCCACAAGCGCTGCGGTGCACTTCACTCATTCGGTGGTCTAGCAGGTCCACAAGAAGCTGAATACCTCCTTGTCTCCGAATCTAGAAACAAAATTTGTCCCATTATTATTCATTAGTAACTTAAATATCTTGTTTGGTTGATAGCCCTTGTGTTGTAAACTAAGATTGCTGTCTTTTATCCTCATTACCTGTCATTTTAGTTCAAATCTATTCAACAACTAGGCGTGCACTAATTAAAACCACTATGACACAGCTAATGACTGTGCTTCATAAAATAAAATGACACTTAATTACAGCAAAATCAGTGCGCCCCATTGCTCTTCTCATAGTGAATGACATCCTAACAAACTGCCTCTCAGGACAGCACGAGACACCAGTCCACTCCAGCAGAACACAAATCAAATTCCTTTATTTTAAATTGCGTGATTATGAGTCATTTCTGTTAGTTATATTGAAATAATAACATACATTTCAGATGGCCTATTTAATTTGATCTATGAGGGCTTTTCATTATTTGGAAAATAAATATACAATTCAAAAGAGATTTGCTAGTTTTTTGTTTATACCCATAGAAAGACCAGTAAAAAATAGGTGTTTTTATTAGGGATGCACCAGTCCTACACTGATATCGGCAATGGTACTGAAAAAAAATGTGCTGGATAGGATATCAGCTTCAGGTTCAGTCAATATCCTGGTTGAACATATACATTGAAATGATGTTATTTTATCTTTCTTTCTCTGTAAAGCACTTTGAATTACTTTGTGTATGAATTGTGCTGTACAAATAAACTTGCCTTGCCATGTAATAACACAATTTACTGGTGGTAGTCGGCTCAGAAATGTTCATAATATTTGAACTTGTATTTATACAAAGCAGTTCTGTGGTTAAATAACAGCTACATAACACATTTGGGTCAGTTTCATCTTATTTTCTTTTTGTTTAAAGGAAATAAATGCTGCATTCAGCCTCGGTCAATATTGGGAATTGGCAGACACTTAAAGCTGTTTTATTGGAATGCGTAACGGAACTGAAAAAGCTGGATCAGTTTTTATACAAAAGTTCAAACAATATATTTAATTATAAGTTAAAGACTTATACATATTTATTTTTCCCATTAGTTTCATATCACCAGATTGTAATAGCTGTCATTACAAATAGTGAGACCAAAGATAGAAGCCAGTTCATAACAGTACAAGACATGATGATTAGTCTGGCATCGCAATGAAAGACCAGTCGTGCAACATATAAAATCTTCTCCTGTTGGTGTCACATGTAAATACTTCCCTTCTAGTGCCCTACACGTTGGGTTGTGTCTCTCCACTGTTACACCACAGGGATCTGCATTGTTCTCAGGGCGACAGGCAACTTACAGCAGCATGTGTGCAGGCCAATCCACGGGGTGTACAGCTAAATGCTAAAATGGGCTAATCGCTGTGGGGGTCTATTCATATGGCGGCAGCTACAGGAGGAAGATGTTGAAAAATGCATGTCGCAATTGTTGTTTTGAAGATGTGCAAATTTGAATATCGAGTATATCGTCTATCAGTAAAACAACTAAACATGACCTTATTAATAAAAAAAACATTTAGTGTAATCTCCCAAACAGAATGAAGTGATATTTCTGTATGTATATGGTTAATTTTATGGTCCATATGGTCCATTATCCAGTTTTGTACTAGACTTGGACCTCCACCAAGACATTTTCAGGCATTTTTTTAATCACATTCTTGATGCATTGTTAAAATACTGGCTGAATATGGCTGATATCAGGATAATGCAAAAAAATAAGGTATTCATTCATGTCAATACTGACTACCTCTAGCAGTAACTAGTGTGTTTGAGCAAGTTGATGGGTGATAAAGTGAAAAAAAGAACTCTTATTTAATCAAAGTCTGAAGTGCGTAATCAGAGACCTTGAAAGCCAGGCCTTTTCTCTCTTCCTGTACGTCCTCCTACAGACCTGGGAAATCAAGGACGAGCAAATATCTTCAGTGTTTGCTAAACTCGGCAGCACCAGATGGACAGAGAAGTTCTCACAGGAACAAAAAATATGACTTATCCAAAACTCATTGTGCGGTCTCCGGTGGAAAGCCAACACATCTGCCACAACTAAGTGCATAAAGCAAACAAAGAGATTCACTTGGTTCTTTAAAGTGGCTGTATTGTGTTGTGGGACGATATAAATAAATCATATGCATAGTGTCAGATGTTTAAAATGTGAGAACAAGTAACTTTTCTGATAGAGGGGTTTGTTGTCTGCTCTTCTCCGTGTAGATGTTATTGCAAATGTTTCATAGTGGTGTTAAACTTATCTTTTTTATTTCAACTGCAGGTGCTTTATGGCTAAAATACACAAAAAATCATGCATTCTCACTGTGAGTGGGATCACCTTTCCACAGATATGGCCTGTAACTTGGCCTGGCTGCACCACTTGTTTGTCTCCATGCTGCATGTAAAATTTAATGTCATACTGTGTAACATTACGGCAAAGAATTAACATCTCCAAGGTGACAAACATGTGGTGGACACTGGATCACAAATAGTGCACCTTTATGTTGAAGTCAGGCAGTTCTTGTATTGACACTGCCAAAGGGATGGTATATTTTGAAATGTTCATTCTAATTAGATAAAGTTGCAATAGGATACTTTAAATTTTGAGGTAAAACCACTTATAGTTTTTGCACCCGATAAAACCAGGATTAAGAAAAAAAATATATTTAAAAAAACATAAGTGTTGGAGGGCAGAGAGCGGACGCAGGTTTTTGATGACGCAGCAGGAGTTTATCGAGCAAAATGACTTTGCTTATCTATTCAATTAAAACGGATTAAAGGATGCAGCGAACAGCAAACTAACCTTGCACCAATGGCCGCACATTTTCCAACCAACCTGATTTGTGGTGCCCCGCTGTCTTCACCCCTCGCCCCTCTCCTCCCACTCCTCCGCCTCCTCCTTTCTCTGCCTCTTTATGCTTGTGTCACACTTAATCTATCCCTCCATAAAAACCATGGTGCTATTACTTTGCACTGTGAGCTACCTGCGCATCTCGCCACAACCTCTACCCCTGTATTGCATGTAAAAGAAGATTAGAAGTGCAGATTGATTTGTCTTTGTCTCCCGCTGTTCTCCACTGGCCCTGACTTTCGGTAACCCATGGCGACAGGAGCATTGCTGTGGTAACAGTTAGCAGTGGTGACAGCTGGGATTGTGGGAAAAGGAGGTGTTGCAGGTGTAAAAAAAAAAAAAAAAAAAAAAAAAAAAAAGGAAAAGAAAAGGAAAAGGAAAAAAAAGAGCTAGTGATGGGACATGGTAACACATACCTGCAGCCTAATGATTCAAGACATATGGGATGCCAGCAGTGATCAGCAGCAGGAGGCAGTGTCTCATAGTAAAAGCTTTATTATCACATGTGGGTGGCACTATTACCTTTTAAAGGTACATTGTGTAACTTTTCTGGTGGGTGGGTCCATCAGATGCTTTTCTCCATGATGTTATTGCTTTGTGTGGAATGTTTCACAGTATGGCATTAAACCTGTATGGTATTAAACCATGGAAACCAAACCAGACCAAGTTACAGGTCAGACCTACGGAGAGGCAACCCTGCTCACAGTCAGAATACATGTTTTTCTAGGTATTTTTGAGCTACAAAACCACCTGTAATTAAATAAATAACAAAGAGCAAAGATATAAATGGTAATAATATATTGTAAATAAGTGGAGAAATAGCAAGAGACTGTTGTCAAATAAGACATAATTACATAAATGTATATGTACAAGTAAAAATAAAATAGAGAAAAATAATACAAATCTGTCTCAAATAAAGAAGGAGCTACAGTGACCTGCTGTCACTGTACTCAGGTCAGAATGAATAGTTTCCATAATTGCACTTTACAACATATGTACTCACATCAAAATAAAAGTGAGTGATTGACTCAGTTTAATTAGTAATGTTACATATGTTTATAGCATTGTTGTACAGGCCATCATGCACCCATTTGTACGCAGCACTTAGCTCAGTGAAGGCTAACTGCATTTTAAAACCTCTCAAACTTGGGTTAATTGAGTTCCTGGCCTATGCTAACATTTTTCTCTGGAGTATTTTAAACTAGGTCAGTCAGGACATTAACCTATGGTTACCTAATATTGTTGAGCTAATTCTGCAACAGCATTTAAAAGGAGATAAAAGTCATAAAAGAGCAACCATCACATATGCGTAAAAAGGCAGGTTTGTAAAATATTGCTTAGTTTATAGAGGTTAAAATATAAAGAGCACAGGTGGTATTCTGCTAAATTTACAAGCAAAAGGGTCATTTGATGTACTCAGAAAAAAATATTTCAACATCCTGATGACATTTGCAGAGCTGTTTTGGCCACTAGTTCATCTTTATATTCATATCATAATCCATGAAACTTGCTAAAGATAAATATAGCTTAAAGGTCATATATTGGTGCAAAAGTTTGGTTTCATTCACACATGTTTGAGTAATCCTTTATTATACAGCTGTCTGCATCTCCAAAACTAAAAATACTCAGTTTCAACTTGTGATGTTATGAAGCAGTAGTTTTCAAGTTAATAGCTTCCTTTAACTTTAGTTCACTAGAGATTGGCAAAAGCAGGGCTTGACATCATTCAAATTATTCTAGTGAAGGTGTACGGAAACACAGTGGAGCACTTCCTGTTTTACCAAAGTGGGACAGAGTGTTTTATGTTTGAGAGAAGAAATCTATCTAAATATGCAGGATTTGTGTGTTAAACATGTGTTAATGAAACAAAACACAACTCCACGTATGTTTTTGATGAGGAAACAACATTATAACATAGATCAGAAAATAGCATGATAGGCCCTTTAACAAGTGACTATCAGACCCCAATAGCAGCCCCTAATAGCACAGATGATGGGCCCTTGAAAACCCAGTGAGAGCTAATGTGAAGATTTTCGTCCCCATAACTGTTCAGCCCTGACACATGAACAATGACAGAGATGTTTCAAAGGTTACGCCACACTTTTTGACATCCCTTTATGACACAGTGACAGAAAAGATGGGAGGAAAGCAATGGATGGATAAATAACTTGTTAAGAG